AGATGATGTCCATGTGAGAAGAAATAATCACTCACATTGCAATACATTGTTTCCCAAAGTCTACGGAACACCTCAGAGACCAGGAAAGCATGGGAAATCTCTGCTGTATCAAGTTGGCAGAAACAGCCTCTGCGCAGACGGATAGTTTGTAAAATTAATTGCACAGTCATGACTCTTTTGTACTGGGATTACTAGACTTTGGAAAGCCAAAGCTGGAAGTATGTGGTCTGTATTGCGATCGACGTGTGGCAGCTCTGAGCTGATGTTCTAAGACAGCAAGCTGTGTGGAATGAGTGCAGATTACTCCTTCAGTTCAAAAGAAGTTGCAGTCTTAAGATTAATCCTTCCTTTCTTACAAACAGGATGCTTGGAACATGGGGTCAGCATCCTTTGCCCTACAACACCATACTGTCCCCGTTTGTGGATTCAACACCTCTCCATGGTATGTTCCTGGGAAAGTGTTGGAGCTATTAAACAGGTGTGGTCCCTGAATATAGAACTAGCTCCAGGGATGTGATTTTTTTTATTCATTTGCGGGATGAGGGCGTCGCTGGCTAGGCAGCATTTATTGCCCCATCCCTAATTGCCCAGAGGGCAGTTAAGAGTCAACCACATTGCTGTGGATCTGGAGTCACATGTAGGCCAGACTGGGTAAGGATAGCAGTTTCCTTCCCTAAAAGGGGTTAGTGAACCAGATGGGTTTTTTCAACAATCTGCAATAGATTCACAGTCATCATTAGACTCTTAATTCCAGACTTTTATTGAATTCAAATTCCACCATCTGCCGTGGCGGGATTTGAGCCTGTGTCCCCAGCTGGGTCTCTGGATTAACAATCCAGCAATAATACCACACTTGGCCATCGCCTCCCGCAGTGATACCTGATACTGGACTTGCACAATCTAACATGAGCTGTATCTCTGACCCTGTGATTGCATGATCTGTTATCAGGGCTGCATTAGTGTTTTAGTGCCAGTGCTCTCACTGGGAGCTGGATGAGAAGGGTCTGGGTCATTCCAGAGTATAAATAACGTGGGCGCAAACAGCTAGAGAGGCTGAATTGGCAGCTGTTAAAAGGATCTACCTTAAAGTATCAGACAAGAGGTAGGGTCTAATTACAAATAGGACAGTCTTCCTCACATTTGGGCAAGTAAGCTGTGTTTCAGGACTTTGAATGTTTTTCAACTCTGTTCGCCTACTCGTTAGCTTGTTGGCAAGTCTGAAGCTGGTGATGGGCGGAAGGTGGAAGTGAGCAAATTATTGCTGATCATTTCAAATCAGAAGCAAACCGAAAAGTGGCAGTTATCTGCTTTAACATTTTCCTCCTCCCAACTCCTCAAATCCTATCAATCAAGCCCCTGCCAGGACACCTAGCTCTTACCTGTTAGCATGCAGGTCAGTCTATGAATCTACTCCCTTTCACTCAGCAGGGAATAGTTTCCAAACTATAATGTCAACATGGCTCAATATGAGGAATTCTTCATTTCTGGAACACAAGCAACATGACAATAATTAGCTGTTAGCACTGCTGCCTCACAGCCCCAGGGACCCCTGCTCAATTCCACCCTCCGGCACCTGTCTGTGTGGAGTTTGCACATTTTCCCCATAACTGCATGGGTTTCCTCCGGGTGCTCTGGTTTCTTCCCACAATCCAAAGATGTGCAGGTTAAGGTGCATTGGCCATGCTAAATTGCCCTTAGTGTCCAGGGAGGTGCAGGGTAGGTGGATTAGCTATGGGAAATGCAAGGTTACAGGGACAGGGTAGGGAATACGTCTGTGTGGGTCTGGGTGAGATACTATTTGTAGGGTCAGTGTGGAATCAATGGTCCAAATGGCCTGTTTCCACACTGTAGGGATTCTATGATTTGAGTTAAATAGCTAGGAGAGTGATAGCTGAAGAAAATCGTGGGAGTTGTGGGAGACTCAGGAGATGCCATGAGCTATTAATAGGTCAGCACAGTGAAGAGGATCATTATCACGCCCACAGCTGTATTTGCTGGATACAAGTGGTCAATGTTTGAGCTCAGGGTAAAAAGACGTAGGGGCAGCTTTAGGTTGGTGAAACTAACATCCAGTGAAGAGCTAGAGTTATGTTTCTGAATGCATACTAGAGTGCAATTTCGGATTCTAGGGGTGTACAGTCCCAAGAAAGGAGGGTGACTGACCAGACCAGGAGTAATCACAGAGGTACATTCCATGGTGGGCTGGTCTTGAGAGGGAGCTTTAGGGCCAGGTCAGTAGAAGTACAGAATTGCAATCCCTTGTGATATTTAATGACATTTAATGACATAATAAGTCATTAAAGTCTGGGGGAAATTGCTGAGAAAGCCATGGGATCTGTTTTGTTCACCGTTGTTATTTGATGTGTGCTGGGAGGTTCACCCCCTGGCCCTGTTCCCTGGCCAACATCACTGTCTCAGGCTTGCTGCAGTGCTCCAGTGAAGCTCAGTGCAAGTTGGAAGAACAGCACCTCCTTTTCCACATGGGGACCCTGTAGCCTTCTGGACTCAATATTGAGTTCAACGATTTTTAGAGCTTGTGGTACTTTCTCTCATGTCCTTAGCCCAACTCCCCCAAAACTGGGCCTTGTTATCACATCGTCTGCTATTATACACAACCCATTCTTCACCACTAATAGTCCCCTTTAGTAGCTCTTCAGCCTCCCTCCCTGATCATTATCCACTCCTTTGTCTGCCCAACTGTCCTTCTCTCTCTTTGGGCTCTATCCCCACCTATCATTTACTCCTTAACCCCTCCATCCACCCTACCTTCTGCATAAAAACCAACATTCTCCCAGTCACCATCAGTTCTGCAGAAGGGTCACCGGACCCGAAACATTAACTCTGATTTCTCTCCACAGATGCTGCAAGACCTGCTGAGCTTTTCCAGCAATTTCTGTTTTTGTGCTGAGAGGTGTTTCATCATAGCCATATCTAACTCAACCCATATTTGCCCCATGTTCATTCTGAGTGTTAGAGTATAAGTTGCACTTGCATTAAAGATTGCATTACTGTTCTGATGTTGCATAGTAAAGTTTATTGTTGTTTGTCCAAAACCATGGATTCTTGAAGCTTTATTCCCTGAGTACATTCTCCAGATCTCACACCTTATCTACTTTAAAAATAAAAAGTTACTAGTCCCTGGGAAGATTGTATAAACCTGGCAGTTTGTTATGGGATAACCACATTCTACAAGATAATCCAAACTTGATACTTAAACATAATATATTAGTCCACAGAAATAACATTTTATGGTCTTGGTAACTGATAGATTTGATGGATGGAAACGTCTTTTCTAGCTCTGGACTGTAATTGATTTCCCAAACATAATCATTGAGTGTAGATTAAATACAAACAACCTGGGGGATTTTTTTTGTAATGGGAGTTAGTTTGTCACTTCTTTGAAGATAACAAACTAATTGGGAGCATATTGAATGATACATTCCTTAAATTGAGGCCCTCACTACAGGTTCTAAGTGCATGTGTGAATATTACATCATAAAATTGGGCTTGTTGTGTTATCTATCATGAATGATTGAATTAAATTCTGCAGTCATAAGGTGGCTATTAATGTGTAGCTATAATGGTCTTCCTACAATCACCATGCTTCAGCAATCTGAATGGTTAAAATTGCCCTTTTAATTAATTTGTTTAAAAGTCTGTATACATTAATATTTCTGGCATGCTTTAAATAGTCAGAATTATGCTTAATTCAGCCACGACACATTGTAATTTTTAAACTAATTCGTTAAGATAAAGGACATTTTTACTATTTTCACATCTACCAGCAGTACAATGTTTGACTCCAATCCAAAAATTCCAAGCTAAAACCTTCAGCAGTACAACAAGAAGACTTCCAATTGGTAAACCTTACGATTTTGAATTCTAAAATTGTCAAATCCAGAAAATCACCTGTTCCCAAACACATTATATTTTATTCAGTTTGCTCCATATGTTGATTAGCCCTTCCTATAAATGGGGTCTTCGGTAATTATGTGCATTAAGCACATTAGGAAAGACCTGGGGGACATAATAAGGTGCTGGGTGAATGCAAAACTTTTCTCAATAAGAGCTGACATTATGACACGTCTCACATATGGAACCAGATGCTGAGTCACGGAAAAACGAGACATTGTTCAGTGGGGTCATGGATTCTGGTAATTACAGAATTATTTCTTGTTAAGCATTATTGAAATCAATGGAAAAATAAAGTAGAAACATACAGTGATACTTTGAGGAAGGTTATATCTAAGTTATGGTCTCCAGCTGTACCTAACTGAGTGAAATCAACATTATTCTGATGTTTACAGTGTCATTTCACGAAGATCTCTGGATTTAATAAAGATTTTCTGAGTATTTCCAGTCGCTGAATAAAATGAAGACGAGTAAATGTTGTTTTGGCAGCTCTGATTGCCAGATTAATTATCTGTGAGTTGTTTTGATTTGTTTTCTATCCTTCCCTGGTTTCGTCATATTCATTTATTGTCTCTATCGTTGCAACAAACATTCCTTCCACTTTTCAACTTCCATCTGTCCGAAGGGTCAGATATATATTGTGTCTCCCATATGACAACATTGTTTTGTACCTCATTTGTGAGAGTGGAATGCCATCTCCAGATAGTTACAGGGAATACACTCGACCTCCGGATCTCTCGATCTCTCTTTAAGAGGATCACACCATGAGAACAGGCGAAGTTCCCCCCCCAGTCTTTGGCTCCCGAAGGGGCTGAGCAATGGGAGAATGTGAGCATGGGGTGGGGAGGGTGGCTTAGTGGGGGAGGGGAAGAAATGACACTTGGCCATACTCATGTGAAATACCAAACCTCTGAGTATACTTTGATGCCGCTATATATTCAGATTAGTTGTTCATTCCAATTCAGTCTACAGTTGCTGATGCAGCATCGCAACACCCTTAAATTGATGTATTTTTGCCTAGTCTTGTTAGCTCCATAGACTATAGATCCGCTGCGTTCATTTAAATTTTTTCACTGAAACATTTGAGCATGGCCTTGACAGCGTTATTGGCATTGCTGATCAGTTTTTGTATTGTACTAGCCCCTACAGCCTTCCTTATGACTGTTTGCATCTATCTCTGGCAACTTCGATGGAATCGAAAGGGAGACAAGAGTTGTCATCTCCTTCTCCCTCCAGGATCGATGGGGCTTCCGATAGTTGGTGAAACATTCCATTGGTTCTTGCAGGTATGCCTGATTTCTCATTTGACTCAGTAATATTTGAAGGATAAGGTAACATTTGTTGGTTGAAGTAACTTATATTATTATTGGTCTGTTTTTTATTTGGTTCAATCTGTGTTCCATTGTGTGCCAATGTTACTGATGGCAGGCATGTCTGGAAGACTAGTTGTTCTACCTTCACTCTTCTTCTGTTACAAAAGACCAATAGGGAACAAATAAAAACAACCAATTCACAGCATTTACATATCTCAGTGTCAGGCATTATACAGGCATTGAAAGAATGACTCGCATTTGTATTGCATTTTTCACAACTTCAGAGCATCCCAAAACACTTTGGAGGTATTAGGTATTTTTGAAACATTAATATGTTTGCGATTATAATGTACAACTGTCAATTTCCACGTCACAAAGTCACAACAAACAGCACTGGGACAATGAGCAAATAATTAGTGATGTAGATTGATAGATAATTATTGACAGAGAACTTGGGAAAACTCCCTAACTCCATTTTGGTTAGTGCCATGCCATATCTTTTTCGTTTGCCAAAATAGCATCTTAGTTTAATTGCATATCTGAAAGACAATCCCTTCGTGTACAACATTTGCGTAGAGGTGCGTTCAGGCTCAGATTCTCTGGAGCGGGACTTGGAATCACAGACTCCCAATAGTGTGGAAGCAGGCCATTCAGTCTACACAGCATCCCACCTAGACCCACCCCATCCCTGTAAACCTGCATTTCCCATGGCTAACCCACCTTATCCTGCACATCCCTGGACACTACAGGTAATTTAGCATGGCCAATGCACCCAACTGTACATCTTTGGACTATAGGAAGAAACTGGAGCACCCGGAGGAAACCCATGCAGACACAGGGAGAACATGCAAACTCCACACAGACAGTCACCCAAGGCTGGAATCAAACCTGGGTCTCGGGTGCTGTGAGGTGGCAGTGCTAACCACTGAGCCACTATACCATGACTTGAACCCAAAACCTTACATCTCAAGAGCTGAGAGGTTACCAACAGTGAGTGTAATTGACCGTTGGTCAAACCGAGCACCATATGCATTCCATGTCAACTCTTGCGAAAATGAAGCATACATGGTGTGAAAGGCAGCAATCCTTATTCATCTGGTACAGCACAGTTTGTGTTGCTTAGTCACACATTGTTAAAGAGTTTTCATAGTGATGTGCTTGTCAGATTAGATATTAATGGGAAGGACTATTAATAAATACCATTTATCAGGATGTTTGCTAGGAAGCTGAATGTATCAGGATGTGCACTTGAATAAAATCAAATTACAAAAAAGGTGCGTTAGATCAAATGTTATCTGGAAAACATTGGTTAATACTTCACTGGTCACAACTAAAAGGTCAGAAAACACACAACACCAGGTTATAGTCCAACAGGTTTATTTGAAATCACAAGCTTTCGTAGCACTGCTCCTTCATCAGGCGAAGTGCGACTTCATCTGTTGGACTATAACCTGCTGCCGTGTGACTTCTGATTTTGTCCGCCCCAGTCCAACACCGGCACCTCCACATCGTGGCACAACTGAAAGGGATGGGGGAGAGATAAGGGATGAACAACAAACATACACTAGGTGACCTCACAAAGGATAGTAAATAGGTTTAATGACCTGTAGCAAATGTCAACATTCGAACCATGAAAAACACACAAAACTTACAATGAGGAAAAGAACAGGACATTTTTAAAGAACATAGTATGGTTTTAATTGGAGCTTGTTGTGCAATATTTTAGTTTCACTAAAAGCTTTATGCAAAACATTCTTGAACTTCTTAAGTGAAACAAGGTGTTCATTGTGTAAAATCTCCAACATTTGTTTTCAAGACCACTGAAAACAAATGGATTAAATTCCCTGTTAAAATAACAAATGTTTCAGGATGTTAAATATTTATACACCAATATCCCAGGGGAGCAAGAAGTAAACAGCAGGTCAGGCAGCATCCATGGAGAGACAGCAAGCTAATGTTTTGAGTCACATCAGCCCTGATGAAGAGTCATCTAGACTCGAAACATTAGCTTGCTCTCTCGCCACAGATGCTTCCTGAGCCGTTGTGATTTCCAGCATTTTTCAGTTTTCAGTACAGATTTCAGCATCTGCGGTAATTTGCTCCCAAGACGTAAACAGCACTCTCCTGATTGAAACACACGAGGTGAGGTATATCTGTTCTTACACTGAGCATGAAGGGTCCTTTGGCACAATGAGTAGAAGGCGATCACACAGAGAAAATGGATCTTGACCGAGTTTTAAACCCGTACTCGGTCATTTCTGGATGGGAATGTTTGCCTGTTCGCACACTTAGTCTGAGAAAGGGGAAAGCATGGCAATTAACACTAGAGGTCACACACGTGCCGGGCAATGATCGTCTCCAACACGAGAGAATGTAGCAATCTGTCCTTGACGTTCAGTAACCTAAATGTGCTCACTCCCCCACCACGGACAACCTGGGGTCTACCGTTAATTAATTATTTCAAGATTAATTGGACCAGCCATACAAGGACTTGACTATAAGAGGAGGCCAATGCCCTTGATGCCTTTAGGGAGAGGTGGGCACTGCGGGGGGGTGGGGGGGGAGGGTTGGCAGGGGGGCTTTATTTCCCCGTTTCAATTCTATTTTGGTTTAATTCCGACCCTCCCCCTTCACTTTTTTAATGTAGGTATTGCTGTAATCAGGCTTTGCTTGTTACTTTTTCACTGGCTTCATGGGTATATTCCTGCTGGTAGAAATACTGAATCATCTTTTTTTGCCAAAATAAAAAGATTTAAGAACGAGAGAAAACAAAAAGCAAGGCCGGGGCCAGATAATTTGTAAAAAGTGTCTCACCTCTTGACTCTGCAAAGTTCTCCACCAAGTGCCATCCACCCTCCACCGTTAACTGTCCAGTATTCACCATGCACAAGGCAGAAGTGCAATAAAATATTTCCCACTTGCCTGGATGATTACAACACACAAGTTGAACACCATCTACGATGTAGCAACCTGTTTGTTTGACACCCCGTCTGCCACCTTAAACATTCACTCCCTCTACCCTGGTACACAGTGGCTGTGGAGTGTACCATCTGTAAGAAGTACTGCTACAACTCGGCATGGTTTCTTTGGCAGCATCTGCCAGCATAACCAAAGTGAACAAGGGCAGCAGATGCATTAGGTGACCACCACCTCCAATTTCGCCTCCAAGTCACCCTGACTTTGAACTATACTGACATTCCCTTACTGTTGCTAAGTCAAAATCTGAAACTCTAACTTCCTAACAGCATTGTAGGAGCAACTACATCACACAGAATTGTTGTGGCTCACTCCCACCTTCTCAGGGGAATCATAAATTCCATCAATGTCCACATCCTGTAAGCGACTGATAAAAAATACCATTTTTTTTATTCATTAACGGCATGACCAGGGCAGCATTTATTGCCCATCCCTAATTACCCAGAGGGCAGTTCAGAGTCAACTACATTGCTGTGGGTCTGGAATCACATGTAGGCCAGACCAGGTAAGGATGGCAGTTTCCTTCCCTAAAGGACGCATTAGTTAACCAGATGGGTTTTTCCAACAATGGATTTATGGTCATCATTAGATTTTACTGATGACTGTCCAAAGCTGGAAGGGTCAGGTGGATTGGCTGCGTTAAAATTGGCCCAGAGGATCCAGGGATGTGCAGATTAGGTGGATTAGTTGTGGTAAATGCAGGGTCATGGCAATAGGGTGGGGGGAGGGTGTGGGTCTGGTTGAGATTGTCTTCGGAGGTTCAATGTAGACATGATGGGCTGAATGGCCTCCTTCCACACTGTAGGGATTCAATGTTAACATATTTACTGAATAAATAAAGTAAAAATTTACCAGTTGGAAAGAAGCAGAAAGTTGTCTGCATTGCAAGAACTTTTATTATGCAGTATGTAAAATATTTCCCTATTCCTTCCAGGGCTCTGGTTTCCATGCCTCCAGAAGGAAACAGCATGGGAATGTGTTCAAAACCCACTTGCTCGGCCAGCCAGTCGTGCGTGTCACTGGTGCAGAGCACCTACGTCAGTTGCTGTTGGAAGAGCACAATTTGGTTGGTGTTAATTGGCCACAGAGTGTCCAAGCGATCCTGGGATCCAGCAGCCTGGCAAACTCCATTGGGAAAGTCCATCAACACAGGAGGAAGGTAGTGGCAACATTGAAAACTTCCAGAGGTCTGACCTGTATCTCTCAGAAGGGGCAATAATTGTCAAGTGAACTATGCAAGCAAAGATTTCATTTTGTGAGGAATGCTGTTCAAAGGCCAAATTAATCAAAACCTATTTACTTCAAGCTCTTGAATCAAGTGATTTGTTATCTGACCTTTGACTCTCTGACCTTTCACTCTTTCTACATGTGTGCTTGTACTTCTTCCGAGCTAAATGAGATTTAAAGAGACCTAAGGGGCAACTTTTTCACACAGAGGGTGGTGCATGTATGGAATGAGCTGCCAGAGGAAGTGGTGGAGGCTGGTACAATTACAGCATTTAAAAGGCATCTGGATGGGTGCATGAAAAGGAAGGGTTTAGAGGGATATGACCAAATGCTGGCAAATGGGACTAGATTAATTTAGAATATCTGGTCAGCATGGGCGAGTTGGACCGAAGCATCTGTTTCCTTGCTGTACAGCTTCTATGACTCTATGACCATCATAAAGTTATGTTCAATGGTCTCAGCCGACAGCTGTGTCCCAGCACAGTCAATCCAACAGTGACATTAATCCAGACTGGGGAAATAGCCTGGAGTTGTCCTAATCCATTGCTCAAGACAAGAAAGCCTTGAATACAAACTGTTGTGATGTTGCTCATTTGTTGGTATTTAATTCTAAAAGAAAAAGAAACTAAAGTGTTCTGGTAAATGCTGCTTACACATTTTTAATGTAAATTTTGACTTTGCATCCCCTCTTTTATTTTCTGCCCTTCAATTTCTTGTTGCATTTCAGTCCCACATTCCTGAGCACTGGCCACATGATGTGGAGGGAGATGGACAGACAGGGAGACTTCACCATGGAACCGGTCCAGTGCCTGGCCAAGATCCAAGAGCCATTCAAGCAGTAGATGAAGGCTGTAAAGTCTCAAAGCCTGATTAAAGATGGGGTTCTGAGTCGTAGGAGAAGGGGGAAAGGGCGACTGTGTGGCTCACACACTCTCTAACTTCCATTCACACACACACACACACGCACGCACACACAGACACACCCACACACAGACACACACACATATGCACACAGACATGCACACAGACACACACACACACACACACACACACTCACATGCGCACACACACACACAGACGCAGACACACACTCAAATGCACACACATACTTACACTAACACACACACACATATACACACACATACACACACACATCTCTTCAACCTGCATAGTGCCTCATCCCCTCATATAGCCAACAGGTATCCCTGTCCCTCACCTCCAACCCACGTCTCCGACTGAATAAAAGCATGGATATTTGCTGCTTCTCCAAAATCAATCCAAGGCTGTTTTTCGGCTTATTTGTTGTCTCTGGCAATGACTTCAGAGATGGATAGTCCATCAGGTCTCATTCGTTCCTTGAGGTTTTGTAGTTGTTTGCTACAGCTCACTGGCTTTGTAAGCACAGGCATTGTTATGGGATTGGAGTCACATGTAAGGTGGATTTCCTTCCCTAAAGGACATTATCGGACATATTTCGTTCAAAGCAAATTTCACCATATTGCATGGTGGGATTTTGAACCCAGGTTTGCCTGGTATGCTGGTCTGGGGCCGTGGTATACGGGTCTAGTGATATTACCACGACACCACACCTCCCCACATTCTATAATCCAAGGTGCCTACAGATGGGGAAACTAACTGACATAATAATATTTAGAATATCTTGCCTTTCTCACACAAACTAATCTGTTTAATTTCCTGCCCGTCCATTTTGATTTCCTCAAACTCCATCACATTGATTGACATTGCATAGTTTGTAAACATTCAGTTTTCAAGAATGCCTTGCTTTTCATGCAAAAGTGAACTACTGCAGATTCAGGGATACAGAAATCAAAGTGGAAAATATTGCAGATACTCAACAGTTCAGGCAGCATCTGTAAACAGACTTAAGGGTGATTGCCCTGAAAGTCTGAACATGATTTTCTCTCTGCTTCTAAAACCTTGCTTTCAATCTGATCTCAGACAAATGAAGTTACATTTTTTTAATATAGGGATGAAATCTTGTAGCTGGAACTGAAGGAATTTGCCTGTCCTTATCGTTGATGTAGTAGCAAGACTATACAATACACCCCAATGCTTTCCACCTGGAGAATTAAACAACAATGCTTTATTTGTGCAGTTAATTAGCATTGCTGCCCTGTCTGAATCGCAATGGTGTTTGGGGCCTCTTGTAACACTGTGGAAGTGTTCCTAACTCCAGGCCAGAAAGAGCTGTGTTCAAATCCCACGTAGCCCTAGAGGTGTGACATTATACGTCCAAACAGGTTGATAACTAATAATTAGAAATGGGGATTGTGACTGCAGATATTATCCAAGGGGAGTTAACTCCATTTATTCACGGAGTTCATGTAGATGGGTCTATTATAAAACACATTTTGCTGTGTATGAGAATGGTGCATTTCCCACAAAAGGTATGCGTGTATTTTTCATTTCCTGTCTGATAGTTGCTGTACATAGGAATGGTGTGTGGGATTTTAGACTCTGGATAAATAATTATAAAAGTATTGTTCAATGATACTTATTGTTTGAAAACTTTATCTATATGACACACCTTTGGTGGCTCAGTGGCTAGCACTGATACCTCACGGGTTTGATTCCACCCTCAGGTGTCTGTGTGGAGTTAGCACGTTCTCCCTGTGTCTGTGTGGAGTTTGCACGTTCTCCCCAGGGGCTCTGGTTTCTTCCCACAGTCCAAGGATGTGCAGGTTAAGTGGATTGGTCATGCTCAATTGCCCCATAGTGTCCAGGAATGCGCAGGCTGAGTGGATTAGCCATGGGAAATGTGTGGTGATGGGGTGGGTCTGGGTGGGATGCCCTTCAGAGGATTAGTATGGACTCGATGAGCCAAATGGCCTGCTTCCACACTATAGGGATTCTATGAGCTGCTTCAATTTTATATCCTGGTGTAACATAGTGGTTACTTAAACACCATGTAAAACCAGTGGTTTATACGATGTCAGCGATTTATGTATCAGATTTTCAATGAATTGTTAGCTTCTAGTCTGCTGAATGTTCCTCAATCCAAACCATGTCCCTTCAACATCGTTTCTTGTTTCTTGCCAGATCTACGCTCGGGTTTTCAGCTATGCTGCTTTGGAGAGTTACTTGCCACGAATCAAGGAGGTGGTGGTGGAGACAGTGAGAAACTGGTGTGCCAGGGAAGGCCCTATCAGGGTTTACCCAGAAAGCAGGAAGCTCACCTTCCGTATAGCAGTGGCTGTTCTGCTGGGATCGTCACCGGCTGAGGAGAAGATGATCGATCTGCTCACCACCTTCGAGCAACTTACCAAAAACATTTTCTCCTTGCCCCTGGATCTCCCGGGCTCGGGATACAGAAAGGTACACTCTACTCTCCCATGAATTGGGCAGGGGTCTCTTTAAATATTTCTGCAACTTCTTATGTTCTCCCTGCCATGTTAATAACATCGGTCAAATAACTAGTCACTCAGCAGCGTCCTGGGTGGCTTAGTTTTTTTGAAAACAGTAAAACACATAAGTTGTGAAACAGGTTGAAGCAACTAGTTTCAGAGAATGCAGTCAACATATCCACAGCCAAATAGATCAGTAAAGGTGGACCTATAACGTGATATACACAAAGCACTTCAAGTCCCTAAAGGTGAAGCCTCTTAAGGGCAAGGTACGCTATAACATCCACTTCCTTTTCAAAATTTTCCAATATTTTATTGGAAGAAGAATGGGGCAGTTATCCCGTTCAGCATTTACATTTCATCCAACATCACAAAAACAGATAGTATTGTTGTTAGTGGGAGCTTGCTGTGCTCAAAATGGCTGCTGCATTTCTTACATGACAACAGTGACGACACTTCAAATACTTCTTTGGCTGCCAAGTGCTTTGGAGTGCCCTGAGGTTGTCAATGGCGCTAGGTAAATGCAAATTGTTTGTTTGTTTCTTCCTTAATTTTGTTGATTGAAGTTCTATCTATCTCTAAAGGTGGAGACAGTGAATCTTAGGCTGAAGCTTCAATACTGAAGCAATCCAGCATTCGTCTCTCCGAATAGAACAAAGTCAGCACCTCCATCTCCTACCGACCAACCTCATCCCGCCCCCTTGACCTGTCCGTCCTCCCTGGACTGACCTATCCCCTTCCTAACTCCCTACCTACACTCACCTTTCCTGGCCCCATCCCCGCCTCTTCGACCTGTTTGTTTCCTCTCCACCTATCCTCTCCTCTATCCCTCTTCTATCCGCCTCCCACTCTCTCCCTATTTATTTCAAAACCCCCTTCCCCTCCCCCTTTTCTGATGAAGGGTCTAGGCCCGAAACGTCAGCCTCTCTGCTCCTATGATGCTGCTTGGCCTGCTGTGTTCATCCAGCCCTGCACCTTGTTGTCTCGGATTCTCCAGCATCTGCAGTTCCTACTATCTCAAAGTCAGCAGAGAGATGGGATTAGCTGTGCCTCTACAAGTTACACACCATCCTGACTTGGAAACATATCATTGCTCTTTCAGTGTCACCCTGCATTTAAAATCTAGAACTCCCTTCCTAACAACACCTACCCCACAATACTACAGGGGTTTAAAAACGTAGCTCACTAACACCTTCTCAAGAGACAGACAATAAACGTTGGCCCAGCCACCAACATCTACATCCTGTAGATGGATGAATGAATGAACAAATTAAAAATCATAATTTTATCAAGCAAACCCTCTACTTAGTAATACATTTCAGCGTTTGCTTCAGGAATCAGTGACTAAGACCATCAATGGCTATCCAACCACAGAATACAGGAGACAGAGAGGCAGTAAAATACGTAAATTCATGAATCCTGTTCTTCCTCCAGGGTATACAAGCTCGGAACAGACTGCATGAATACTTTGGAAGGGCCATAGAGGATATGCTTCAGTCTACTCCTGAATATCCAACAGCACTTGGCATTCTGATACAGAGCAGCAAAGAACATGGGATGGATATAAACACGCAGGAACTGAAGGTAAGAATCAGTGAACATTCAGTCTGAAGCTCAGGTTCAGGTTTTTTTTGTGGCGTGTGTGGACAAATCAAGGTCAGCATCACAGGGCTCAGAAACAGACCTTTCACACTCAGTGTCAAAGTTCAGAACTCCCGGGTCAAGCCTAAGATGGATCGATAAATGTAGCGCTCCCATCTAACCCCACCCCAGCCCTTCCAGCTATGTGAGATTTTTAAAAGTAATTGAAATTCAAAACAACAACAGTTTGTATTTGAAATAAAAACAAGCAGAGCTGGAGAAACTCAGCAAGTCTGGCAACATCTGTGGAGAGTCATAGAGCTGTACAGCGCGGAAACAGACCCTTCAGCCCAATTGTCCATGCTGACCAGATATTCTATATAAATCTAGTCCTATTTACCAGCTTTGGCCCATTTCCCTCTAAACCCTTCCTATTCATGTACTCATCCAGATGCCTTTTAAATATTGTAATTTTACCAGCCTCCATCACTTCCTCTGGCAGCTCGTTCCATCCACGCACCACCCTCTGCATGAAAAAGTTGCCCCTTAGGTCCGTTTTAAATCTTTCCCCTCTCACCTTAAACCTATGCCCCTCTAGTTTTGGACTCCCCTACCCAGGGGAAAATACCTTGGCTATTCACCCTATCCATGCACCTCATGATTTTATAAACCCCTATAAGGTCACCCCTCAGCTCCAGGGAAAATAGCCCCAGCCTATTCAGCTCTGCCTATAGCTCAAACCCTAGAGTTAATGTTTTGGGTCCAGTGACTCCTCTTCAAAACTGAGCAATTCAGATTTGTCTTAATCTAAACTATCTGTGACTATGAGAGGCATTTAAGAGGTTAATTTAATCCAGTCCTAAACTCTAATTTGCTCCCAGTAAAGGGAATGGGAACTTGTACAGATCTCCCTGAGCTAACAGCCTAGTGATAACAAAAACAGCAATTGCTGTAGAAACTCAGCAGGTCTGGTAGCATCTGTGGAGAGAGAGACACACATGTTCCCAGTCCAGTATGACTCTTCTTTAGAAATCTGAAGAAGGGCCAATGGACTCGAAGCGTTAACTGCTTTCTCTCTCCACAGAGTTTCTCCAGCAATTGCTGTTCTCGTTTTCGGGGTCTTCTGGAGACCTAGCCTAGAGACATCTACGGGCGTTGATGGGAACCCTTGAAAAGCTGTAAGCATCCAGAACGGAAATATATCCCGCCAAAGCAATCAGGATTTCAGCTTCGCAAAGCGCTGACAGACCGGATTGTTTCATTGCAGGAGGCGTTGGTGGAGCTGATGTTTGCGTCCTGTTCTACAACTGCCAGTGCGTGTACGTCCCTTGTCCTGCAGCTGCTGAAGAATCCAGAGATCCTCGCCAAGTTGAGGTGCGATCTCCAGGCGAAAGGATTCCAGTCTGAAAATGCAGCAATGCTGCGTCTTAGTGAATTCAGCCACCCGCAGTACCTGAGCAATGTAATCAAGGAAGTGCTGAGGCTTTTGCCCCCTGTATCAGGGGGGTATCGGGTGGCACTGCAGACCTTCGAGCTGGGAGTAAGTTGGTTTATTTTAAATCCCACTACATTTCTGAAGAAGGGCCTAGACCCAAAACGTCAGCCTTCCTGCTCCTCTGATGCTGCTTGGCCTGCTGTGTTCATCCAGCTCTACACCTTGTTATCTCAGATTCTCCAGCATCCGCAGTTCCCACTATCTCTACTTACAAATGTCATCTGTTTTGGAAATTACGCTGATTTTTATCTGATAAACTCCCCCTGCGAAAGGGCTTCCACTGTTCGCGCTTTGGTCGTAAAGATCTTGATTAATGCTTAAAAACAAAACCCCAGAATTTGTCCTGAGATAGTTAGAACTGTCGATGCTGGAGTCAGAGATAACACAGTGTGGAGCTGGAGGAACACAGCGGGTCAGGCAGCATCAGAGGAGCAGGAAAGTTGATTTTTTTGTATCTGGTATTCATCAGGATACCGACAAGAAATACATATCTGATGACACTTAGCGCCACCGATACCTCCCAAGTTATTAAGACATACTGTATTTTCTGGCTTCACCAATATTTGAAGGTTGATTCTGTCCAATGCTACTGACATACAATATTGCTTCATTGGCCCTAAGTGTAGCTACGGTTTGCTGTTTCCAAATCTTAAACAGTTTATAATATGTGCAGTTGAAATACTGTTTATAATCAGTAGGTGTCATCATTCATGTTTGCTGGTCATTTTCAAAAATCTAGTAAAGTTACGAATTCTATTAGACTCAATCTTTTTACGCCCTACCTTTTGACCAATATCAAAACATACAGTATATATAGAAGGAGGTTGTACAGAAAGAGGGCGCAGAAGGCTTTGGCAGAGAGCTGGGACGATATTTTGTAATGATGCTGTGGATTTAAGAAGTGTATTTTGTCCCGGTTTCCTCGAAGAGAGATTGAACGAGAGGAGCTTGTGAGGCTTTGATGGTTCTTTCAAAGTTTGAACAATAGAAGCTGCCGAGATGGGTGGGCTACCTCTCAGAGCAGGATTCCGAGTTTGTTTTAACTTTTAGATTCAGTAGAAGCTGGTGGAGTTTTGTAGAAGTATAAGCTATTTTTTCCTCTCTCTCCGTCACAGCTAGAAGCTGGGGTTTCTCTTCCTACTGTGGGTGTCGCAAGTGAGAATCTGTGTCTGAATTTGTCTTTTTGCTAAGGGGTGCATTTAAGGGATGATGCTATATTGGAACAGTTAATTAGTAATAGTTACTATATCTATTATTATTATTTTTAAGTTTTCCAATAGAGTTATTCTAAATTCCTCTTTCTTTCTTTGTATTTTAACTGCAGTGTTTGAACTAATTGTATTTTGATTAATGTCGAGTAGTTTGACCAAATAAATTCATCTGGAACATGGCATTCTACATTTGCCTTTAAAATAGGAAAAAGTGTAGTGTCTAGGCTACCTTTTTAAAATATTTTGAGGGGGTCTGGTCTGGTCCATAACAATATTAATTCCTATTCAATCCTTATTTATAAGCTGCATTTAACTCTGTTTTGAATAAACTAACAAATCATAATTATTGAAATGAAGTAGCAACGGATTTTTTTCATGGCATATCAGATTAATTGTTTCAAGTACTGGACCTCAATTTAAACATAGAGATTCCAAATAATATGGGAACAGATTCAGACCCAAGGTCCAGTCAAACAAACTAAACCTGGGATATGCAAATGTGACCAGATCAATTAGGCTAATGTATTAATGTAACCATGTAATTACTTAGAGTTCATATTTATTCATTCATGGAAATGATCTGGCCGTTTCCCCAAGCCTGTGATGTTGTAGTCACCCTAGCCATCTTCCACTGCATCTAGGGGTCTAGCTTGGATCACGACTGAAGGGGGTCCACGGATAAAGCTCTAGGTAAGAGTAGGAAGAACATACCCAATAATGCTCTCACCCTGATGGCCACCTTTGTGTACAGCTGCACCACTCTGTGTGTAGACCCTCGGTACGTAGGTGTCACTACATACCGAGGTTCCACCTGTCCCTGTTATTGTGAGGGGTGAGATTGGCCTCACTGCCGTGGAATGCTCCAAGTGGTCAGACAGTCCTGGATTTGCAGATACGTTGCAGGTAAATGGAGCAGAGGTATAGATCAACCATGATTGAAGCAATTTGCAACTATGTAACTGGAAAGGAATTTGATTTATGTGTGTATGTCAATGGACATGATATTTTGCAGAACTAACACAGATCTAGATTTTGTGCTCAGCCTGCAACATTAGAGAACTAACATTCTCCTTCACTAAGCTACACCACAGTACTGTCTTATCTACTTCAAAATTTACCTAAGTCATACAGCCAAAAAGCATAGAAACAAACCCTTCGGTCCAACAAGTCCATCCCGAACATAATCCCAAACTAAACTAGTCCCACCTGCCTGTTCTTGGCCCATATCCCTCCAAACCTTTCCTATTCATGTACTGATCCAAATGTCTTTTAAACGTTGTAACTGTACCCACATCCATCACTTCCTCAAGAAATTCATTCCACACGCAAACCACCCTCTGTGTAAAAAATCTGCTCCTCATGTCTTTTCTAAATCTCTCTCCTCTCGCCTTAAAAACATGCCCCTAGTCTTGAAACCCCCATCCTTGGGAAAAGACACCTACCCCTAACTGTATCTATACCCCTCATTATTTTGTAAACTTCTATAGGATCACCTCTCAGCCTCCTATGTTTCAGTGAAAAAAGTCCCAGCCTATCCAGCCTTTCTTTATAATTCAAACCTTTCATACCCGGCAACATCCTGGTCAATCTCTTCTGAAGCTGGTATCCCACCACATGATACATGGAGAGACTGGACCTTTTATCCAGTAGTCAGACCCACATCCATCATTAGAGATTGGTGTCTGCAGTCACCTCTGGCTTCAGAGTAATTATTTAATGCAGAATCATTGTATCCTTTTTAAAATACGCCAATGGTTTTATCACAAAAGGAGACAATGATGACAAATTGGTGAGAGAAAGAGAGAAAGAATTGCTCAAGTACATAACTATGTCAATGCTTTCTATCCTTTTAGGGTTTTCAGATTCCCAAAGGATGGAGTGTCATGTACAGCATCCAAGACACACACAACACCGCCCCTATATTTCAACGGCCCGAAATATTCGATCCAGACAGATTTGCTAATGGCCTAACAAAGGGCAAGGATGCGCGCTTTCAGTACCTGCCGTTTGGTGGAGGCGTTCGACGTTGTCTTGGCAAAGAGCTTGCCAAACTCATCCTGAAAGTCTTTGCCATTGAGTTAGCCAATAGCTGCCACTGGGAGCTGGCCACTCGAACGTTTCCCAAGATGCTCTTGGTGCCAGTGGTTCACCCAACAGATGGGCTGAAAGTACAGTTTACAGCTCAGCTCCACAAAAAAAGTGCAGCTACTGAGGTTAATTTGGAGTAGATTACCTCACAATCGAAGTTGCGGTATATTTATCTTATTGTTATTTATCATTTATATCCAATAATATGACAACAACTAGTTAATGGTTCAATTTGTTGGCAGCATTTAAGTTTCAGGAGGCTTCACAGATGTTGAGTTGATTTATTCAGAGCTCATTTTGGACAATGTTTTAGAGATAACAAGGTGTAGAGCTGGATGAACTCAGCAGGCCAAGCAGCATCAGAGGAGC